ATTCCTCATTATCCAAAGTCTTGGTTCGAATAAACTTGAGTCTCTTCTCTGATTTGTCACCTTCATCGTCTGATGTTTTCCCGAACCCAGACGTTATGCAGGGCACTTCAACATCCTCGGTTGTCTTCGTCGGCAAGCAAACTGGCGTCCAAGTGACTTATTCAACGAAATTGAACGAATATTTATCGAGATATTATTGCTGATTTCAAATGCTAAATTCGGATTATACACTGATGCGTCTGTGATTTTAAAAGTCCAGTTTGTACTCCTTGATTTACAAAACTCATAGAGACAGTTTTGGTGGTTTCAAGTGCCGTTTTCACCCCACAAAAATGTGTTCAGCCGAAACCAGTAAAGGAATCGAACAGAGGCTGTTTGACTTGTTTTTCTTTGTTTTTATTCTCATGTTCCAACATTTTTGCTTTAGAGAATTAATAAAGCTGTTTTTATTTTTGTGAAAGCGGTGGGACAGGTATGAGAAACAATAATGTGCTTTAGTCATTGGTCTGGTATTGATCCCTATTAATGTGCCATTAAAATTGGTAGTTGGGATGGACGGGAAATCAGGAAAAACATATACATGGACGAGATACGATGTTCATATTCGGTTAATCATAGTTCGGTTTATTTTCAGTTTTACCAAACTGCCTAGACTTATTTGAGTTTTTTCGAAAAAATCAGGTAAACTCGTATCATCAACGAAGAAACTAACTGCTGAAATGACTTTATTTTTGTAGGTACATTCGGTTGATCGAAAGTTCGAAAAAATAATGCAGATCCACCAGTTTTTTTTTTCACTATACACTCCTACTGCACTTTAGAAGCGGAAGTACTGCAATCACGTAATTTCGTTATCATTTATCCAAAAAGGAAAAGTTACTTCGGGTAAAATTTTGCTTACCTTGTTGGTTTTCAATGCTGGGGATTGTGATGATGCCAATATCATGGTCGATTCCATCGTTCTCCCACTGGGGATGAACCTTCCATCCAGTGCTAACAATTTGCAGAC